CTCCTGGCTGGATTAACTGATATTCTCTTTTCTTTTTCTAAAGTATTCTGGATAGCATCAAGAATACTGAACACTCTTTCCACTTCTGTTCTTTAGGTTTGTTAAATTTTAGGCTTATTAATATTCAGGCTGCATCCAAATCTGTTTATCCTTATTGGTGTTGTGATATTAATTTATAATCTAATTAAATATTATATAAATCAATGAAATATAATACAGAGACAAGACATTTATTTCTATGAAAACTAGGTTAAATGCTTTGGAGAATTTCAGTTAAGTGAGCTGCTAAAAAAAATTGATGAAATAGGTGAGAGCAAAATAAATGTAAAATAGTAGGAAAAAACCACAAAAAATTCTAAAGCCATTCATACAGATTATTGGTGTGTTTAAGTTATCTTTCCACTGATGGTACTGTACATTGAGGCAACTATTATGGAAAGAAGTAAGGAGGTTCCTCACACAACTACAGATAGTACCGACATATAATCCAGCAATGCCACTGCTGGGTGTCTACACAAAGGAATGGAAATCATCACGTCAAAGAGATACTTGCACTCCCATGTTTATCACAGTTCTATTTACAATAGCTGAGAGTTGGAACCAACCTAAATGTCCATTGTTGGATGACCAGATAAGGAAAATGTATATATACACAATGGAATACTACTATTTCATAAAAAGAATGAAATACTACCATTCGCAGCAACATGGATGAACTTAGAGAAAATCATGTTAAGTGGAAGTAAGCCAGGCACAGAAAGAGAAATACTGCATTTCTTCACTCATTGTAGGAGCTAAAAAGTAAACAAATAAATTTAAAAAAAAAAAAAAAGAAAGAAAGATACAGCAATCACAATAATAGGTTGAACTTTCAAAAGGAGAGAACAGAGATGAGGCCACCAGAGGTGGGAAAGGGAGAAGGGAAGGGGGGTAAGGAAGGAATTAGTAAAAGGCCACAAAAGTGATTACATTGTATAATGTCGAATATACTAATTATTCTGATTTGAGCATCACATATTGCACACAGGTAATGATATTCAACTCCGTACCCTATAGATATATACAATCAACTGTTACAATTTTTTTAAAAAAGTTATCTTATCATCAGAAAGGAAGGAAAGAAGAGAGGAGAAGAGAAAGAGAGAAAAAGAAAGACAAGCAGACAAACAGGAAATCATAGGTGATGCATTATGAACGTGACAAGTGAGAAAGAATCTGGAACTCTAATAACTTAGTTCTACTTCACAAAATTAGCAAATGATTACCTAGTTATACTTTATGAATTAAAACAAAATATTTACAGTATTTTTTTCAACGATTCCCTATGTGCACTGGAATTTTTGATTACTCAATTTAAAAATTTCTCATCACATCACCACATCCAGCCAGAAGGATTGATTCTAGGGTATACTGCATACATACAAAAATACTTCAAAAAATTCATAGAAAAATGGAATCAAAAGATAATATAACCCTTTCCATGAATTTTCTGAAGTACCACCGTATTACGTATTTTTACATACCTCTTACATATGTATATACTCACATGTATACATATATGTGTATTTAAATGCATAGGAATGCAACAAAATAACAGGCAATATCCCCAGGTGTTGATATATAGGTGTTTTTTATGCTTTCCTGTCTTTTCCTAATTTTCTACAATGAAGATAAGTATTATTATACTCAGAAGAAAATGTATTTAAAAAATCTTATCAAAAAAAAAAGCACTCACTGTTTCCATGTTAATAAATTTCAATTATATACTTTGTAGGAAAGAAAGAACCTGTGATTTATTGTATCCCTATCGTGCCGTCGGTGTTGTGCTTGGCANTGAAGATAAGTATTATTATACTCAGAAGAAAATGTATTTAAAAAATCTTATCAAAAAAAAAAAAGCACTCACTGTTTACATGTTAATAAATTTCAATTATATACTTTGGAGGAAAGAAAGAACCTGTGATTTATTGTATCCCTATCGTGCCGTCGGTGTTGTGCTTGGCACATTCTGTAAAGTAACTCATTAAAGAAGCCAATTCATTTAGAAACCCATATAATACTACTAGCAAGCAATAAAATTGTACTTTAGCTCAGCTTTCTGTAAAATGTTGTTACAATGTTATATTGTCCTGATACACTATATTTGCATTTTGTTCTGGGTTTCCACAGGATCTTTTTTTTTTTTCATTGACAGACTATTATCTTTGTTTACTGAATATAATTTGTTTATGTAGTTAATATTTTGTTTTATTAAAAAGAATGCTATGAGGGCCAAGCCCGTGGCGCACTCCGGAGAGTGCGGTGCTGGGAGCACAGCAGCGCTCCCGCCGCGGGTTCGGATCCTATATAGGG